TTGTTCTGGACTATTGTGCAACTGGTTAATGTTTAAGTTGTGATTTCAAGGCCGGAAATGTAATGGGAGCCGTTTGTCAAATATTAAACAACAGCAATATATACGGTAACACTTTTTTTCGGCGAATCTTTCCGTTTATAAATCACAACTTGCCAGAATTTTCTTACCCTCAAAATCCCGGAAAAGTGTGACTCCATTCTAGTCACCCTGAAAAGGCGACCCCATTATAGTCAGTCCAGTCGTGAAAATGCGACCCCATCCAGCGGCACATCCCCATTAGCCCATTTATAGGAAGTGCCCTCCCCCCCGGGCTAATGGATAAGATTCTTGTCCAGACGTACAACATTATTATTTTCCAAAACGCTTTCATTTCTTGGCACGTGCTGCGATTAGTTACATAAAAGTAGTGCTTCACAATGATCAACCCTGTATTCTTTTTTATTCTTCCTCTAGGTTTCTTGAATATTTTTGTGTATGAAGCTGAAGGGTCATCGACATTACTTGGTCATGTGGATGTTTCTCAGCCTAAACCTGTTTGGAACTCTCAGACCATTTGTCCTCCCCGCTCAGTCAAACCGAGAGATAGGTTCGTGTCAGTGGTGGGTACGGGTGGCGTGTCGTTTGCAGTCGACTTAAGTGAAAGTCCTTCAGAAATTATGTTGGATATACCACAGACAGTCGATATCAAGAACACCAAAGCGATCGTTTTTCCGTTCAACCCTCCAAAAGATCTCTCAGATAGACAACTTGACATCACTGTGACTTCCTGGTCAAATACACCAGCTTACTTGAAAGTGTCTCAGATCCGTAAAGATGTCGATGACAACATAGAAGTTGTGGATTACAAGAAGGCGTCACTACGTCTTTCCTTTGCCACGAAAGGACGGATTACCCTGTCCAAGGTGTCTGTGCCTCCTTTAACTGACTCTACCTCCACCTGGTTCATTGGAATAGCATTAAAAAACTCAACAGGTAGTTTAAAACCAGGAGAGTCGAAAAATGTTACTTTGAAACTGTCACAGTCATTTGATTACAGTTATGCCACACCTATCTGTACTTTGTTTTTTGTGTCACTGGTGGGAGGTATATTAGCGTCGATGGCTGGATTGTACGTTTTTAAAGAATATCTTGTTGTAGTTAATATTCCAGAACCACTTGCTAGAGTTAACGTGAGTAACAGGGACCAAGATAATCAGCCTAGCAATGGGCAGGACAATGGTAATAATTCTCAGTCGAATAAGATTACAAAATTTGGGGCATTCATTTTCGCCATGTTGAAAGTAGCATACAAGTACTGGTTTTCAGGGGGTCCTAAAACCTATTCTTATGGTACAGGGGTTGCGGGTTTCCTGCTTATGATTGGCGCCTGCCAATTTGTCATTGCAAACTGGTATGTAATGATCCAAGAGGGTGATAGAGACGACTGTTATTACAACGACCTTTGTTATAGAGTTAGCGATCATCATGATATCCCACTGAACTTAATGATAAGTAACTTAACTTACATAGTCCACGCACTGATTTTAACTGTGTCCGTGTGGTACATGGAAACAGAGCTGTATCTTTTCTGTGAAAATCTTAAGAAGTCTGTGACCTCTGGGGAGCAAGCCACTCAGCCTGGTGACGGACAGGAAAATGGCAACAATGGCGACAGTCGTCAATCAACCTCATCTGGTTGTAAAGGTAAACAACAGCTACCAAACCATGTTTTCGTGTGTCCCAATATCACTCCGCATCTTCAAGAGGGGGCTGTTCCAGAGCATACGTTGGGAGACAAAGAAAAGAAGACACTAATGGCCCGAGCACTGAAAAGGAAGTACTCTTATTCCATTGGGTATGCCTTTGCCTGGGCCCTCCTTTTTGAGGGATTGTTTTCCTTGCTTTACCATTTGTGCCCAAGCAGGTACGCATTTCAGTTTGACTCGGCATTTATGTTTGTAATTGCCGGTTTAACTGTCCTTTTGGTGTATAATGGTATGGAATTGAGTGAGTGCCCACTGGAGAAACAACCACGAGGGCAACACCCAGTCGAGGCTTGGCCAGGAGAGCAACACCCAGTTGAACAGCCAGTAGAGGAACTCCCGGTGGGTGCATTGAATTTTTTCCTCTACTTCATAGTGCCACTTTTCATCTTCAATTATATCGGTACACTCTATCACTCCGGATCTGGACTAGTTATAGGGTTGCAAGTGATGTTTTTCATCTTTCTGATCATCTGGTGGTTCGCAATGGCTTGCTGGGCTTTCCATAAGCTCAAACGTGTTAAAGGGGTTTTGCCGTTAGGAAAGTGTGAGGGAAACACTTGCACTGTTGAAATGTGTTGGAATGCGTTTTACTACATTGTTGGTTGTGTCATTGCTCCACCTGTACTGTTTGTACCGATCTTTCTTCTCATGGACCTTTCTCAAGTGTTTCTGTTTACTTGTATTGCAGAGAGTGTTTGGGCTGTTAGTGCCAAAGTTAAACTTTTACAAAAGCTCTGGAAACTACTGTGCCATTGCGAGCGTCCAGGTATGTGCACGAGGTGGGTATTTTTTCGGGGGTGTTATATCTTCTTAACTGTTGCCTTTTTGGCAGGAGCTTTTGGCGTATTCCTTGGCCTGGCAACCACCGACAAAACAGCGTCACCTGAAGATTCTCGTGATCTTAACAAAGAATGCGGAATTCTTGGGTTTTTCGATTGGCACGACCTCTGGCATTTTTTGTCTTCTTTTGCCTTACTAATGGGTGCATTTGTTATCATGTTTATAAGCGCCGCTGAACCGAAAAACGGAAAAGCAGCTCGGCGGAATGGTCGTGAAATGGATGCGGTTGAAAATCATGCGATGGAAAATGAAAGTGTTGATGAAAAATGACCTGGCAGCAGGGACTTAGGCTGTTACTCCACGCAGGATTTCTTTTCCAAAAGAAAACAAACAAACAAACAAACAAACAAACAAACAAACAAAAACGCTGTATATGTACTGATCCTGTGGTAGACGTTAGGCTATGTGAACATAACCCCATTTGAACAAAAAGTTCGAAAAGTTCCGAGACCTCCAGCCAGACATGATTTTTCTCCTTTTGGTTTTTCTCCTTCTGCGACCAAACGACTTCAGTTTGTATCGAATTGACTTCAGTTTGTACTGAATCGACTTCCATTTGTATCGAAACGACCGTAGATGTAAAATTACTCTGTATTGCAACGACCGTAAACCGAACCAAACCGTCGCTAACTCGATGTCACAGTCAGAAATCAAAAGAAAAGCCCTAAAATCCATACCACATTGAACCGAACGTTCCCGTTGAGACCAAATAAGGTAGTAGCTCCTACGACAGGTTTAAACAGGGTTTTTAACTTGTTATGAAGCTTTTTGAGCTGCGATGTAAAGCTCAAACAATTCTATCGCTTATATTACTGATTACTAAATGCATGCTAAGCCTGCACTTGCACATAGTAATTGGCTCAGTGCAGGGTAAGTTAGTGTCACAATATTTACTAATCATTTTAAATGCACCAATAGCTTTAAACGTAATGATGTAAGTCAGATAACTTTACAGTGTAAGCTGAATTTAAGTGTAGGAGAAAGTGTGTTCATTTGAGTTTTCCTGCACAAAGATATAATATCTAGTACATAGAATAGACCTTTGTGAGAAAGCACAACTCATATATTGTAACTTACCGATGAAATGTAACTTGCAGTATTATTAATAAGAAAACATTTCAAATGTACCAACAGCTTTAAAGAAATTTTAAGCCTAACAACTTTACAGTGCAAGCTGAATTTTACTGTAGAAGAAATGTATTCATTTTAGTTTTCCTTTAGACAGATGTAACTATAAAGATTACAGCTTTGCAAGAAAGCACAACTCGTGTTTTGTAGCTTACTGATGGACATATCAAGAGTGATATGTTATTTTACTACATAACATTAGCTATAAGATTAAGCATGCCAGTTATAAGAACCTGCTTCGTTTATACTCCTCACCCACCACACTCCCCCCATATTGACTGGCCGATGCGCATGTCGCAAACATATTCTGAATAGAAAGAGCCAAAAAGACAAGACCCCTCCCCCTCCCCCTCCGGATATGAGTTACCTCCGGTACAAGCCTAGCCAGAACCCCTTTAAGGTGTGTAAGCCCTGGACTTATAACTGGCATTTTACGATACAGCTACCAGATTATGTTACCAGTTGGGTGCTAGTTTATTGTAGTATCATATTTTTGGAGAATTTCCATTTATATGTAACAGGTTGTAGGTTGTACAATAATAAAAGCATCTATATATCGTTTGATTTTGTTTAAATTTTTCTAAAAAACAAACATAATCACACATTTTGAAGTACACAAGACTGCGCGCATAAACATGACAAATATCTTTAAGAGAAAGATGTCTTAATTGGAAACAATGTGCTCTTTTGCTAGAGGTTAGCTTTGAAGTTTTTTAGTCAGTCGTGTAAGCAAAGCTGCCTGACAGCTCACTAGTCCGCTAGTACTTCTTTGTGCTCTAAGGGCGCATTTTCCTCTAGAGACTCGTTTTCTGTTTCATCGTAATCTTGTAGCTGCTGGTCAATTTCTTTGCGAAGACTTAGAAGGCTTGTGCGGTCCAGTTCTTGAACCAAAGTAAGAACTGCGGACAATATATTCTGATTCTGTGGAAAGAGAGATGAGGTATCAGATGTTTTAGTAAGATTTAATTATTTTCAAGTTTAACCTTCTTTTTACTATCGATGCTGGACTAAGCGCAAGCGTTTATAAGAGTCTAAACAAACATCGCACGGCGGATCCAGGATTTTTCTTAGGAGAGGTGCACCAATAAGGAATGGCGTAACTGACTGGTGAGGTAAACAGATTTTAAAAGCGAAGAAGGCTTCATCTCAGGAAGGGAAGGGGGGGGTGCGCGCACCCCTGCACCATCCCCCTAGCTCCTCTGCATCGTGATTAAGAATGCTAGCCATCCTATATATGATTCAGTTGCGTTCCTGGGCGTTTTCCATTCGGAACTTTTGGAGTTGGTCTGGAAATTTCCGGAAAAGAGGCTAATCTTGCGAGCTATACCCAAATTTTCGATAATTTCTTAACGAGAATTTCTGCTCCATTTGATTGTCATCCCGGAATTGCTGGCAGTTTAGAATGAGTGGTTCTCGTTTTGCAACAATTTTGGTATTTTCCAGAACCTTTCCGAAGAAGTTTCCCCCCTTTTCAAAAGTTTCGGAATTTTGGGGTGAATGGAAAGCGCCTGGTATCTCCCTTTTGATATTCCAACCTTCTCAGCCAATCAAAGGTTCAACAATGGCACGTGATTGGCCAGGCATTGGGGAAGCCAACATGAAGACAGAGATCGGCAAAGGTTGTTGAGGTTACCGCGCGTTAAAATGTAACAAAAGATACATACTGAAAAATGTTTTACAAGCAAAACATAATAGAACCAACTCACTCGAGAGCTGGGAGAAACAGTTTCAGCTGCCTTTTTGTGGATATTTGTTGCTGTTATAGCTTTAGTAGTGTCGGGTTTATCTTCTAGTAACAATGGCTTCAGTCCTAACTGGGCCCGAAGTTTACTGTGAAAACCAAAAAAAAAAAGTTAAACGTTACAGTAAAACTCCAGGATTATCTAGCGAACGTGACGGCCGAAATCTGAATAATGGCACCCTATTCAGAGGAAAAGATAAAAACTAAGAATTAAGTAAACATGCCGTTTAGATTTCCTTTCTGTTGCATGGGATGTTTGGAATTAAACATAGAATGCTTGACGAAGCAGAACATATCTTGTTCATCTAACTGGGCGTATATCTACTGCGGTGTTTTGCTAATACAATTTAAAGGAACCCTATCAAAGGAACCCTATCATACTGGGATCACACACTAAAAAGCCGCAAAAACGACAGCCTTTTAAGTATTTAGTGTACTGTACTGCGCCAGGGAACTATACAGCTTGCAGTGGGAATGACCTGAGGCTAAGCAACTTCCAGTGAGGTAATCATAAAGAAGCGACATCACTTACACATGTTGTGTTGTGAAAAAACTGCGTGCATTTTTCAAGAAAGCTGTTCGAAATCCGTGTTACCCATCCTTGTTCCTTTTGTTTTGATCTTGCCTATTAGGCGTTTTTCTACCTTCAGTTGGTAAATATTTTGGGCTTTTTCTTACATTTGAAGGTAATCTTTTCCTGCATCTCGGAAACTGTATCTTCACTTGGAAACTTTCACCTCTAATTTCAAAATTTGAAAGCTGTTTCCCCCTTGCCAGGAGGTTAATCAAAGTCGTTTTGAACCACCAAACTTCCCTGTTCAGCAGGGTTATTACTTGGATGGGTGGCCAAAGAAAAATACCCCTTTTTGTAAGATTTAGATTAAGCTCTTATTTGGTTGTAAATTCATTTATATGTTGTGACGATAAAATAAAATAGCACAAAACTAAAACAGTCTGTCCATGAAGTTGTGCAGAAAGGACGCACCTTCTTGTTACAGTGAAAGGGCCCCACCCCACCCAGGGCTGTCATTAAGTATTGAGTCACCTGTAGCCTCTCCAGACCCGTAGCAAACTTATTACTTTGTGGGTGAATTCTATCAACAACAGGCAATTTCACCTGTAGCATCCAGGGAAAATCAAGAATATAGAGCTGTAACAGGTGTTACGATGGGTTACGGCCCTTAATGAGAGCCCTGTCATCAATATGAGAAATATTTTGTCATCCAGTCCCTAGACTTCTTGAAAGTCATTCCAAAAAGAGACACCTCATGGTAGATATGATGTTAAATGTCAATTAAACAAAACTGGCGATAGTCTGTTTATAAAAGTCTTACTTACTTGGTTTCATTTACTAATTCATTTTGTGTCGGTTCAGGGTTCTCATCTTCTGCTATCAAAAAGAGGAAGAAAATTAATTTCAAAACTAACAGCCTTGTGGACAACCAGTGGATTCCATCGATTGAGAGGTCTGGATTTGAGTCTTGTACAGAGTCATTGTGGCATGTTTGTAACCTTAGCAGTACCTCTCTCTACACAGGAGAATTTATAGCAAAGCATGCGTCATGCCAATTGATCCAAATGGTCAGAGCTTATCCCTGTTGGGCATTAAATGACTGGGAGTTTTTATAATCCCCCCTGGATGGGATGCTAGTCCACTGCAGGGCTACCCCCAGCATTACATTTGCCAGTACCCATTTAGACACCTGGGTGGAGAGAGGCACTGTGAGAGTAAAGTGTCTTGCCCAAGAACACAACACAATGTCCCCGGCCAGGGCTCAAACCCGGACTGCTTGATCTGGAGTCCAGCGCACTAACCATGAGACCATCATGCCTCCACAGGGGAGTATTTATAGGTAACAGCAAATTGCCAGCTGTAGGCAATAAATCATAATACTGTGGAGTGCAACCTGCAAGGGGATAGCAGATCCAATCCAGAGGGAGTGTCCACCCTTCTAGCTACTCCTCACAAGTTGAGTCCCTAGGCTCCAAAAAGGCTTCCTTTGCTAAACATGAAATATTTTTCTTTTTGCATATGTTGTAGAGGCTGGCAGTATTATCCCTTCAAACAAATTACTGTCTTTATGTTGCAAGCTCAAATTTACATCATTATTTAAGCCAAGCAAAATGAGTTTATTTACTCTGTCTCCTGCATCTTCACTGTTGCATGATTAGCAGGGGACATAAGAACCCACACACTTATTGCAAAGAGTAGGGCAGGGAGTTCCTGGTGTTGTGGTCTGGCCTTGTCTCACAGGTTGGTGCTTCACATAGGGTTAACCTCATTGCACCTTCCCCTCCTGGACAGAAGACTACGTCTTGAATTTGTTGGTTCCAAATCAAACTCAAAGAAGACAAGGCTACCAGCACTCTGGGTCAAATAATAGTGATATCACTCCTACCTGCTGAGCTTTGCGGATTAACATCCTTACACACAGCACCATCGGTTTTTAGTGTATTCTAGAAAAAAACCCGCCACCTTAATACAGGATTATGATTTAGCGAAATAATACATGTACTTCCATACAAATTGAGATAAACTTGAAAACAGGTAGGGCTACTCTTCTGTTTTAATCTTCTCCAATTTTGACCATCTGCAACTCATATTAATTGGCTTTTCTGTGTTTATTTTGAGTTCTTCTACAGTTTAAAGCTGCCATACTGTGGTAATAACCAGGGCCAGGTTGTTCAAAGCACGATAAAGCTAATCCAAGATTAGCATAAATTTTTATTTCAATTTTGTAACTTTTCAGTGAAGGTTTCTGTTTAAATTTTTTGTCCTTTAGCTTTGGCTTTCACCAGTGTCAAACTCCAAAAAATATGGACAGTGAAAACGCTTTTATTCAAGAGAAATTTGAACTTTGATTAACTTTAAATGCTGGATTAGCGTTAATCGGCTTTCGAATAACGAGGTCCAGTTGGTCAGCACCAAAATTATGCAAAATATATTAAATTGCATGACCTACATGTACCCCTTTTAATGCATGACTTGGAAAACACATCCTTAAAAGAATCATTACAAAAGGTTGAGACATTTGAGTGACTCAAGTACCTTATGAATACCAACTGTGGCAGTCAAGTCCAAATGAACAGGAATGTCTTCTGGAGTGGGGATTTCAATTCCTTGTTTTGTTGCCTCTATGACCTCTGCTTCTTCAACAACTAATAAATAAAATTAATTTTGTATATACAAGTAATTTAATTAATATTTAATATATTTGCATTTCATATTTCTTGATGAAAGCAGACAAAGAACTACTTTTAAAAAACTAACATACATACGCATTGTCAACCAATTTCATCCAACAATCTTCATCTCACAAATCGTTTAATTGAAAATGGGCATCTCTGCCCCTTTCACAGGGGAGGCCCCAGGGCTGTCATTAAAGAGGCATTACATATAACACCTGTTGCAGCTAAATAGACACGTAGGGTCTTCAAATTGTTATGAGTAACCTTGCCTGTTGTTGAAACAATTAACCCACAAAGCCACAAGTTTGTTACAGGTACAGGGGTTGATCCAGGATTTTTCTTAGGAGGAGTACACCACTAAGGTATGGTGTAACTGACTGGTGAGGTAAACAAATTTTAGGAGTGAATACGAAGAAGGAGGCTTCATCTCAGGGGAGGGGGTTGCACACTCCCTGCACCCTCCCCCTACTGTAGATCCGCCCCTGCAGGTGTGAAAATCAAGGTAACCAGTGACCCAAAAGTAAGTGAGAGCTGAGAGCCCTGCAGGACCCCTTGCCTCAGTGTCAGTTATATAACTGATATTCACAGTGTTATAACTTAACGTTGACTTACCCACTGTGTCTAACTTAGTAAGTTTTGGTAAATTCTTCAGAACAGTCATTCTGTACTTCTCTACATTGGCACAAGGGTTATCAGAAAGCCACAGGACTCTTAACCTGGGAAGGTTCTTCAGACAGCCTATCTCATTAATATCTCTGATGCTATTCTTTCTAAGATAGAGTTCTCTCAGTCTGGGACCTGATAGTGTGATAAGGAGAAAAACACGAAGAGAAAGAGAGAAAAACGACAACAAGAGAACAGTCAAATAATCTTGTCATTTGATCTATCTGTTGTGATTTCCTTTAGATAGAGTGGTTTTCAATTAAGTGTCGAAAAAATCTTACTACTCTTTGAGATTAGGTGAGTGGTCTCATTGGTAATTAATTGGTTGGGTTTTTGTTTTACGACACTCAATTGAAAACTGCTCCACTCATATTATAATTCAAAAACAAGAATGGTACAATGTGCAAAGTCCTTCAAACTGGTTATGCTGTTGACACTGCAAAGCAAAGAAATAATAATAGAAATGTAAAGAAAATTTCAAACAAGAGAGTGAGAGAGTTAAAATTAAGTTTTAACAAATCACATCCGAGGGTACTGAGATTTCATTTTGGCAATTTGACATTCAAAGGTGATATCAGATTTGTAGGAGTCACACAAATGGACATATTCTGAGACCAACCTGAGACTAAGGACTTCAACATTTGGCATCTGCCGCAAAACTGAAATCTGTAAAACAACATAAGCTTAACTTTCATAAGCTTACAATGAGACTGAAAAAAAAAACTAAACTGATTAAGCTTATTTGTAAATCGAACTTGATTTCTCGAACAGCTGCGAACAGAAAATTGTGCTCTCGTGTGCTCTATTGCGACAATAGCTAAACTCAAAAACGCGGAATAGTAATAACAATACCCGAAAGTAAAATCACTGCACTTACATCATTCAGATCGCTTCCCCTGGAAAGAAAAAGAGGACATTTAAAAAGTGAAACTATGACAACAAAAATTTGTCTACTTTCCTAATAGTTTTTATTTTGAGGTGCAAAAATTAATCATTCACCCACTCACCAAAAATTTAGATTTTTCACATTTTCTAGAGATGATGCTCTAGCCCTTGACAGAATCTGCTGTTCTGATAATGCAGACATGTTGTATTTCAGCTAATACGACCGTTCGTTCTTCTTGTTTTGACTCATGAACATTTCCGCCATTTTTTCGAGGTCTACAGGAGCAATCCGCTGACCGCGGGTTCGTTCTTTTCGGAACTCTTCGCTAGCTTTTCGGAAAGCACGAGGAATACCGAATACTCCCGAAAGCTTGCAATGCCTGAATTCCTTTGTAACCTCGCCATAATTTTCAGTTTTGTGCTGTTTTGGGTCTTTTGCAAAGGGAAATTTAGCCATGTGATATAAAATTTTCAAAGCAGCAAGCCCTGAAAATGTAGCTTCGCTCGCAAAATGCATTGTTTGCCAGGTGCTTAGCAAAAAAAGGAGAGCTAAAGTAATACATTAAGCCGGAAAATACAAGCCGTTTATTTTTATATTTTCAAGAACATCGTTTGACAGAATGGCTTGCTCGAGCCGGCTGTGATTTCTGCCAAGCTGCTGAAGTTATGAGTAGCGTGCTAGATACTGGAAGTTCACCTTCTGAAGTGGACAGTGTAGACCTGGATGAAGTAAGTTGCCCACTGTGTTCTAAAAACAGAACTCTGTGCTCGTGAAAAATTGAAAATAATGTTTCCCTTTTAACCAGAGTGATGTTTTCAAAAGCTTGAGTTTTAAAAGTCTCACTAGCTTACGTAAGACTTAATACTTATCGAACTGATATATGGCTGTCGTATTAAAACAGTTTTCTTAACTACTGGTAAGGGTTTATCCGATTCCACAACAGTGTAAAAATAACTTTTAATAAATCATTTCTAGGAACTTCATAATAAACTTGGGTGGGGGAGGGGAGGGGGGCACACTCCTCTATAAAATCCCATGGTGTCCTGTACCTAGCTGTTAAATTTGTATTTTGTACTGTACTGGGTCAAAAAAATCTAGTTATTGCAGCACCTTTGAAGGTGGTAAGCCAAAAAAATAAAAAGAGACTGGAACTTCTTATTTTCCAAGATAATTATGGCTGATTTTCCTTTTGGGGAGGGTGTGTTCTACCCAGGGGGTGTGGGGGGGGGGGGGTGGGGTGGACTCCCATGTAAAAAGAACTCCTAAGAGATACCAAGATCTGGTGTTGTGGGCGTGGCTTGTTTTTTGTTTTACCCCTAAGAAGTACCAATTCCAACACTTACAGTTATCTTCTGTCATATTTTACTCTTCTCAATACACGAAAAGGTGTCAAAAAAGGTATCAAAAAAGCTTTTGCTGTGGGCCTTTTGAGACTGAACACCCTAGGAGGTACCAAAACTTGTTTTTTAACAGCACCTCCCTCCTTTTTATATGGGAGTCCACCATGGGTGTTCTTTTGGAAGTTCCCCCATAGAAACAGGTATTTGGGTTGAGGTGTGAGGCCATGAAAGGTGAAGGGCTTGCAACTGGTGCAAATGAGACAAACAGTGTAATTATGGAATACAAATTTCCATTCAAAGCGTTAAGATAAGAGTATTTCATTCACAGCAGCCCAACAGGAAAATGGGATGACCATTTAGAAGTTTCTTTGTTTGCAGAAATTTTCCAGCTCTAGGACTGGACAGAAATGTCGGGTTCTACTGATATTGTAACTAGAATTTTTTGTAAATAGAGAACAACTTTAGTCAGTACTTGGTCAGAAATGATGTCTCTTTAGGGGTGAAAATGAATTTGAGCCATCCTTACAAGCAAGATTTTGGCACCTCTTCAGGGGTTCTTTTAAAAATAGCTCACAGTCAGGGTTTTACCCCCAGCATTAAATTCTCTGGCACCCATTTGAACACCCGGGGAAGGAGAGACACCACAAGAGTGAAATGTCTTGCCTTTAAAGAACACAACATGATGACCTTGACTGTGGTTCAAACCTTGGTTGCTTGATACAGACAGAGTCCAGATATATTTGCAGACAATTAGGGCAATGTGAATTATTCTAATTAGGCAGAACATGTTAATAAGCATCATATATTTAACTGTCTAAAAGAAGTAACAATCAAAAAGTTACAATTATCGAAAATTAGTGCCAGAAACTGAAAATGGGACCCTTGCTGCTTTCTGGATGTGGCACAGTACCGTTGCATTAATCAACAACTGTTTTTGGTTTGTTTTTTTATTTATTTTTTTTTTATATAGGATTCCAGTTCTGAGTTTGGTATTGTATGTGAGCTCATTGATGAGGCCATCGTCAGCCTTTGCTTCGACATTCATCGGTCTATCAAGCGTGGAGCATACAGTGTCCTTGAGCAATCAGATGAAAAAATGTAAGTAGTGACATTAAATAAGACCGCTTATGATATTGACTCAGTGTTACCCAAAGTTATGGTCTTACTAGTAAACAACTTGATCTGGGGGAGATTGCCTTTTCCAACCCAACCCTCAGAACTATGTCATGTTGTATTCAGTGTACCTGTGCTTAATCCGTTAATTCCACCATGGAAGAGATAACGTTTTCTAATTTAACATCACCTGCTGAATTTTTAAACATTGTTGCTTTTTTTCTTTCATGTCTTCTCTTTGATCAGTATGAAACAATTTGGTGAGTGTTTTTTTTATTCATTGTTTGAATTTAGCGTATTTTAGGTTTAATTAGTTCCTGAATTTTTTGGGATCTCATGGGCAGCCATCATTCATGCAATAATTGTACATGTACATTGTCAAGATGAATTGAATGCACAAAGCATATGCAGTGGTTTAATAATGATGAATTCTTTCCTGAGAGGTCTGAGTTTGAACTCAGTCTATTAAATGTCATTGTGAGTATGTTCTTGGGGAGGTTGCTCCACTCTTGCATTCAGAGCTTCCCTATGCCTATAAAGCATGTAGAGCTGCTGTAACTATATTGTATATAGCAAGTTGAATTCTAAATGAAATTTGGCAAAATTATGGAATAGCATCTCATTCATGAAAATTTCCAGTTTAATGAATATTCCTTCTTGTTGCATCTTGTTTTAGGCTGAAACATACATTGTAATTGATACCAGCACCCTTGGGCAATCTAGCTCCTTAATGAATACTTACTAGCATAATATTACAGACTTGAACTTTATTTAAGAAAAGGTGACTTTTTTATGTCAATCTTGTGACAAGCTAAATTGTCCTTCATAATTTGAATTGTTACTTCAGAAGTGGTGGAATGCGATGGGCTGGATGTGTTTGGCCAGGGACCATTGAAGAAACAAGTGGAATGCATTTGCCCGAGCTGCCAACGAAACATGGCTGCCAACAGATTTGCTCCTCATTTAGAGAAATGTTTGGGAATGGGACGAAACAGCAGCCGATTGGCCAGTCGCAGGTTAGACTATTAGTCATTCCTAAGGGTGTATTATTACAATAGCTTCCTTCTCAACAAGATGGATACATTGCTAGTTCACACAAGTAATAAAAATAATTGTTTCCACTAGAAAGAAGTCTCTGGGACATTGTCAAAATGTTTTCACAAATGAGCCATTTCCAAATTACCTTGTGCCTCTGTTTCAAAACGAGTCTTCATGCAAAAACCTCATATGAAAAACCTTTTTACCTGTTGAGGGAACACTTATTCTCGAATGTGAAAGGTTTTGCCCAACAACTGGTTTTGTAACAGATGCAAAAGACTAATCGGAAATGGCTAATTCAGAAAACTAATTATGAAGTATAATCAGTTTATTATAAATAAATTTAAACTGAACATGTTGAACACTTTTTTCCTCTAATTTTCACTGATACATGTATTTCATATGGCCAGGCTTGCGACCACTGGCAAGCTAATTGATGGTGATGATGATGATGACAACTTCTTTGATGATGACTGGACATGGAACTCAGACAGAAAGCCAGGTTTGCCATATTTCATGTAAAATGCAAGGGTCTGTTTGTAGCAAAGACTTCCAACCAATGAAATAAAATTTAAGCCTACAAATAGGTGTGTTTTTAGGGTTGCTGATGTAACAGATTTTTTGTTTCTTTCCGTAGGCAGAAAGAATAAGAAAGACAGGGTAAGATACCAAGATTTTTTGTTCGGCATTAATTTTTATTAATGCCTCTAATCCAGCCATCTTAAGTTTGCTCTTTAATTCTCTTTCTGTGCCTCTACTATTCTTTTGCATGAGAAAAAGCAGTAGTAACTTGACGTGCTACTCACAGAAGTGAACCCTAATCAATTCAGTTGATTTTTTTTCCTTTTGACTACAGGGAAATTCACCAAGAAGAGCTAAAGCTCCCAGAAAAAATGGTATGACATGTTAAAAAAAAATATTTCTGTGATCAAAGTCTACTGACTTTCTTTAAGTTAGTATTATCCTAAAGTAGTTCAGCCTTCGGAGTACATTAGGACTGCCACTAGAAGTGCAAAGGAAATCTCCCAGTTCGTACATACTCTACATGAAAATCCACACACTGTCAGTTTTCTGATAAATTGTTATTACCGGTATATATATATTAGGTGAAGCTGGGACTCCTCGTCCTGGGACACCTAGTTCTGTTCACAGTGGAGAGTTACCAGCAACAAGGGTAAGATGATGTTTATTCTAGAGTTTTAATTCATTCTTATAATATACAAAATATTCCAATCTTGTTAGTGGCTCTTTTCATGCTTTTAGCCAGGTTCTGAAGAGTGGGTGGCCAAAACGTTTATAGCCACACCATCTGGGAGGGTTAACTGCTGTATGTGGGCAAGTCCCCTTAGAACATTGCAAATTTTAAGCATCTAAGGGTGTGTTTCTTTGGGAAAATCCAAAGAAATACACCCTTAGGGTCCTTTATGTTCAGAGATTATTAAACTTTTGCAAGCCCTGTTGGCAAATAATGAATAGTTGTGTTTATGTTATAATTTAAGGTGAAGTTTTATATTTATATCATATTTATTGTATTTTTGGCTTTCAGACTGGACTTACTATGGCTGCCTTTGAACCTCTTGGAAACGGTATGTACAGCACTTGCACCTTGTATATATAACGGAGGGGTGGGTTATAGATGGGAGATTGAGAGGAGTAGATGTGGAGGGGAACACGGGAAGGAATCAAACATTTGCATCAATGTTTAGAACTCCCCATTGCATGAAACTGTATGACAATGTTGTTTTTATGGTCTCTTTCAGAAGAGAAAAAGGCTCTTCTCTCACAGGTATGTATTTTGTAATAAAGATTCATTTTAAATATGTACATGAACGTGTACATGTATATGTATGGAGCTTTATCTTGAGTACACTGTGACTCAGCTCTGTTCAAGGATCATTCCAAGATCATTATTTTTTGCTAGTAGGTGTAGCCAGCCAATGTAACCCAACTTGAAATATACAAGTTTGCAAACTTATTTCATTATGTAACCATGTAAAGTGCATTGGAATGTCACTGGCATTCATTTTGTTTTCTCATGCACTTGCCTGATCCATCGTAGGGGAAGGGATGTCCCAAAATAATTAAATAATTCCTGCACAGCAAAAACTGCTGAAAAAGCATTGTGCAAGGGGAGCCATGGGGCAACTGAAAAAATCAACCAATTGCTTTCTACCATCAAGTTATTTTGATTGCTGATATTAAAAGAAAATTCTTGCGCAAGCTATTGCCCACTCAAAAAAATCATGCACAACTTAAAGGTGAGAAAAATCATGTCCCAGAAAATGCCCCTCCCCCTGTGAAAGTTTATTGGTCTTTCCCTTGGCTGCACCTGGTGAGTCCACAACATTTTGACCACTGTGATGATGCATACTTGTTGTCGACAAGAGTACAGACAACATTGCCAAACCACATTTGATTTATTAAATTTATTATGTTTGTTTAATTTGTTTTTTAGACCTGTGGTGTGATATCAGAACATACAGCACGGATGTGTACAAGGTAAAACTAACAGTGAAATTAATATCTTTAGTTGCATGAGGCCATGAGCCGATGAGGTCAATTCTTGGTTGGTTTATCTGTTGCATTACGGTAACCACAGTTGTTGATGAAGTGATGTGATTGTGAATAGCTTTCATGTACTGTTTAACATGAATACTCTTGCTTTGGATGATGGTGAAGTCATTTTATTTGCCTTGCCTTAAGAATTCAAAGTAACAGCACTGTGAGTTCTGATGAAGAATTCAAAGTTATCATGATTTGTGAAGTGGATTAAATTACGTAGCTATACAATTAGTTGTACAACAGTTTTTACCCAGATGTGTTAAAACATTTTCAACAAGTTGACCATTTTATGATAATGAATACTTAACAGTAATTGAGTTCCAGTTTTTCAAACTATTTCAAAGTTAATGTGCTGTTTTTTGAACAATGGCATCCTAATTTGTGACTTGCGAGTTCTAAGAATGTTTTGTTATCTAGATCCCATCGATGCCCACAACACTCTGATGAGCAAAGGCAATCTGTCAGACTGTTACTTTTAGGTACTCCATAACTGTATTTCACTGTTGTTTGTTTGAAATTTATTTACATATACCTTGTGAACAACAACAACAACAAGGTTTATTTGAACTGTAAAATTAACTTAATTACTAATTAAACAATAAATAAATTAAAAAGACATACATTTGCTGGTCACCCAAAATAACTTAAGAGCTAAACTAGTTGGGTGACCACCATTTATTACCGTAGTGCAGCATAATACTTACACTTCAGTCAGTGAATCTGGGATCCTTCACCTGTAGTTCCCAGTCCATGTTCAAAAGTTGTCATGAAACTTACAGACTTTATTCGAAAATATGAATTATAACTGAACAGCTAAAGATTTGATTTATTTTCATTTACTTGTCAGGCTATGCAGAATTGGAGGCCCCTGTAGGCAGGTTACGACCGGATGGGTAATGAAAGCTGTTATTTTCAGACTGTTTTTATACTCCTGTATTTCTATCAATTTATTTACAGGTTGGTTAAAAAAGTTGATTTTAATTTTTATTTCTTTTTTTAGAAGTTCTTTGGAACCTGATGATGTTATTGGTAGGTACTGAACATGAAATATTGGAAAATACTTGATTGACTTTTGTCTGTGTGCAGACGCTTAATTGCAGAACAGTAAGAATGCAGAGTAGCCAAATACAAAACATGTTAGACCATCTAACTAGTGGCAGTGATGGGAAAATCTTGTAAGCTGATTCACGCAGTATTTGAGTTCGCCAAGTCACGTAATTCACATAAGTTGTCACGTAAGCTAAGTCACGTAGTTCACAGGAATGTCTCGTAAGCCAAGTTACAAGAGAAAATGTCACGTAGACCAAGTCACGTGATAGTCTCGTAGACCAAGTCACACTGTTCACGTAAAAGTCATGCGAGGCGAGCCGAGTAGCGCAACACTCAGATAAGCAAAGTCACTTACCTAGAGAACTGTTTATCTTCAGATGTTGATAGCTATGAGGATGGTGATGGTCAAGCCTTAAGAGATACTCTTAACAGGTGAGATTCAGGTTACCTTATTGTAGCAAGTTAACGATGCACGTTGACAACGCGAAGAACATTTATGTTACACAGAATGAACGCGAATTTTCCAAAAGTTAGGTTTACATACATCAAATTAACGCGAAATTTTCGAAAACAATGTGCGGCTAACTCTAGTGAAAGAAGTTAGCTGTCCCCTCGGGGAAACGGATCAACACGAAGACCAGTCGAAAGACTTTTTGAACTTTATTCTTAAAGAAGAACTGTCCGAGAGTGACTCCGAGGCATTGATAGTGGAACTATGAGCAGATGAGGTTTTGTTATCAAAATGAAGGTGCTGTAAAACAACAATGATGTAAAATAGTGTGATTTAAATTAAAATCGACGTAAATTAAGATGTATTAAATTAACGGAATTTTTTTTTAATCGCGTTAATAAAGTGTATCGTTAACTTCCTATCATGAGTATTTATTACTGTTATTAGAAACATTCAGTTTCCCCTTGTTAACTTACTACTGAACCAGGAATATAAATGGATATCACTTAACTGTTGGAACACATGTTGAAAACCGTGGGTAAGTTTCATCGACTAAAAGAATCCCGGGAGATTAGAGGCGTAATACTTTAAAAGCTGTAGTTAGAACAGCTCCAAGTATTTGGGTCATTTGGATCATAAAGACTGCCTTGTGTTACGTTGTTACTAAGTGCTCCTTCTCGTAAACAAGCACCGAACATCCAAGTTTCTTTTTGCAGGCTGTCGTGGGAAGAAGAGTCCAACGTGTCAACTGGAGACGACAACTCTCCAGCAGGTTTGACAAAGATCTTTTTATCGTTGTCTTATCTCTGTAACGATTTCTACTGTTGGCGATATTGTTGAAAAATTTCTTTTTTTTTTTTCTAGCATTTGGAAACGTACCTCTCGTGAAAAAGAAAAGGAAGAAAAAGGCGAAACACAAGAGGCGTCCTAGATGAATTTCGAAGATGTTTGTCAGTCAAAGAAAACTACGGTGTTGTAGCAAGCGTCTTAACGTGATACGGGCGAGGAGAAAGTGTGAAACTTAAGTTCACTTAGTTTGTCATTCAGCCTTTGCACAGTGTGAACAGGTGTCTATGTGCTCAGAGGAACCCACCTTTTCTTCCCGTACTGTATTACTTTACCACACTACCCGGAACTGGCAGACAATCTTGCAATGCATAATTTGAGACGGTTCTTTGCTGTCGGTGGTCACCTAAATTTTCTGGGTTTTCCAGAGTAGCAGTGACGTGTCGGGACGATATTTAAAAGTGATAGGTTTGAAAAGGAGATACCATTGTTTTCACTTTTCGCAAAATTTCATGCCTAAAATTTACTCTTTCACATGTCGGTGATGAAATATTTGTTCAACTTTCAAACTGAAATGCCCTGTTGCTTCAGAATTTTGAGGAGACATGTCTGGCTTTTCCAGAGACAATAATGAAGGGATTGGCTGCTTCGACGTGAACTTGCTTGCAATGTTAATTGCTTACAGCTTAATGTTCAACTGCTTGTGGGTTTACAAGTTCTGATTATATAGCCTCTGTGAGTGCAAGTTGTTTACGGCCGGAAAAAATTAAATTTGAGCAATTCAACTTGTGTTTTGTGTGTAATTAACGACTGTGTTACACTGTATGGAAGATGGATGCCCGGGAGTCGTCACTGTGATCAGCTGGCCCCTAGACAGTAAAACGCCCCTATGGCTAGCAATCCCCCAACCTGGCCATGAGCCCTACATACAGCCATCCAGGCACCCGTCACACTGAAATAACAGTGGATAAGGGAGGCGGGGAGGGAGGTTCAGAAAAAAAAGAACCACAGTCGGTTGTGAGGTTTTCACAGCGAGGTAAAGCCGTAGAACAGACTGGTCTCCATGTGCTTGTAACTAACGAAGTAAGCTGTACAGGTTTGCTCCTTTCTTAACGCATTCAGTGTGGCAAGTGCACGAAACATTAATAAACAGTGGTCCTCGTGAATTCATGGGAGACACGAGTCTAACGAGAAGCGAGCTGGATTCCGGATCGAGAATTTCAGGTTTTGGCTCGGTAGAGGCTTGTGTTGTTCTTGAGAACTTCCTCACACAGTTCCTCTCTCCTCTCAGGTGTATAAACGGATACAGGCGAGTTTATTGCTGGAGGGGGGTAACCCTGCAATGGACTCGGACATCTCGTCAGGCAGGGGAGGTGGGGAGGTAGGAGTGGAAATGCCCTTAGGTTGCTTGATACCTGAGACACTCGGCCCAATGCAGACTTCATCTGGCTTTACTTATTCAAATACGCAGTATACTTAGCTGAATGCATCTGAGAGGATTTTGACAGTTGAGGGCCCATGAAAATATCAGTCCATCCAGTTCTTGTTACTTTCATGTTTTATGCTTGAAAGGTAACACTGATCCAGCAACACTAACTGGTCAGTGACTATTTTGTCCTCAAAAATATAAAGTTTACACTGGTATGGAAGTTACGAGAAAAAAAAAAATGATCAGCCATAAGGACATCTGTGCTAGATCTATATACGGAGAATCAAATCTTCTAGAAATACTGTGAAACCCCGTTCTACGGACGCCCGCTTACAACGGACAGTTTTCTTTGTCCCGACAACTAAAAAGCTCATATATTTTCTCTTATTAAAATTAACCCGCTTAATACGGACACCCTGATAATGCGGACACTTAATCATATCCCTTGGGTGTCCGTATTAACGGGGTTCCACTGTAAATCGAAACCATGGCATGTTCGCATAAGCTCCAAAATAGATTTAAGAGTCAAATATCATCGGGCTCCAGATCATTAATATATTCCATTTCAGTTCACGTGTAGGGAGCTAATTCGCTCGTTTTATTTTCTGTACAGGATCTTGCTTGCAGAGCCAGCTTCTATCTGCATTGAAGAATCATGGTGACTCTACTCGAAAGATAGTCTTCCCAACGTTTTTAATTTAATTGGCCTGAGTTTGCCATCATTTCTTGGAATAATCTGTTTTCGCGGGTTTCTTGTTAATCACTCCTTTCTTCGTTGATGATTTTTCTGGCGCTTGACCAATCCTTTCTCCCTGGCATTTCGGCTGAAATCAAAATACAAGAACATAGGTAAGCAAGGCGTTTAACTGAAGACTGCTGCATTCGAGGGTCCGTAGCCTCTAACGATAACTTGGTCACACATTGCAGCAGTGTCGCGCACAAGTCAACATGTTGCGCACAACATCTTGCATGCGGTTGGTCTCCCTGTTGCACCAGGCTGACCGACTCTTGCCACAGGGTAGCCAAATGTGCGCGACTTATTGTGTGCAATAATGTGCTAATATGTTGCGTTGAATGCCGTGCGTGCATTTTGCTGGGCCCTTCTTCCTCTCTACGCATGCGGCAATAATCAGAGCGACTGCCAAGAAACTTGAAAGACTGGCGTATATTCGCTTAGCCCTATGACATGACAATTTTCGACCGAATTCCGCGTTCCCTGTTTTGTTTTTGCCTTAGTACGTATTTTGTTTTGTTTTAAGCGTTAGTGAAAGGCTAGATTTCCAATAAAACTGACTTTACCAGAATTAGAGCTCCCTGAGCATTGTTTCTCACATTTTGTTTCTCACAAAGGGACGGGGAAGGAACACACCACAGAAAACGTGATCTCTCATCGGATCCTTCGGGCGCTTTCCATTATGCCAGACCGACAGGTCAGAGAGCAGTGGGAATACCCGAGGAAAATGAATGATTCTTACCATTTCAGTATTCCTTTTCCGAATTCCCTATTCATGAGTGAAGAGAAGTATGGCAATAGACCGATTTGTAAAATGGAACGGTTCGGTCGGATGGGTCCGACCGGTCAAGGTGGACCACCTCCAGAGGTGGGCCCGAATATTCCGGTCGAAATGAACCGAAAGGGGCCTTTCCATTTGACTTCCGACTGAAATTTGCGGAATCTTTGGCGTAATGGAAAGCACCCTTAATTTCCACCCCGAGTCAGGCTCCTTACTGCGCTTGTGCCTAAACCTTTTGTTTTGTTTCATGCAGTTTACGGTCTGATACCAGGGTAAATGAAGAGGCTCTAATTGAATTATATTCCCGCAAAGCCAGCCATTATTGGCACGCTTATTTAATACTGGTCGACTTCATAAGCTCAGATTAGCTTAATCCTATTTTGAACGATCTTTGTCGTAAGTTGTGACCGCTGTAATTAACTGTTACACTGCGTCCAATGGGTTCCATTATATACCGCAGCATTTGGAAATTTAAACCTTGTTTTCACGTTGAACTACGAATGTCAGTGAACGCCAAGGAATATATGCAAATGTCAGTCAGTTCGATCTCAGAGAGTGTTTGAAGACATGTAGACATTTTCTCTCTGATGTGCGAGAACCTCTCAGCAAGGCAGGGTATTTTGCTAATTAAAAGATTAACTCGAAGAAACTGTAGTAATTAGCCCCGAATTAGGCTCAAAAGATTTATTTTGCCAATGGTTACACAACCTGATCTCAAACACAGGCTGGTCGACTTATGCAAAGTAAATGAACTTTGGTCAAGTAATTTCAAACTTAATTCAAGTGTCCACCTGTGCTGTCAAAGAACTGTCATTTTATTGAAACAAGCGAGTATTGGTTTTGTATAATCCAAACACTGAAAAGCTTTTGAAATTTGTGTGTTTTTTTTTTCCGTAAACCGCCTTGCTTCTGCCTAGGTTTTTTTTTTTTAATATGCAAATTTGAAAGTGATGCAAATGTCCTTTCTGTCACCACCGTCGGCTCAAAATTAAACAATTTCAAAAACGGCATAAATAATTATTGATAACTTTAGTTTCTCGCTTCACTTTGCTTTTGGAGTTCTTGCGCAGGAAAGCTAGTTGCTGAATCGCAAATGACGCATTAAATACGCTTGCAAAATCTCTTTCGATGATGTAGCGCAAATTCCTTTTATATTCAGTAGGCCATACTCAATACGCAGGGATCGAATGTGCAGATGTCTTGGTTATATATACACGGATATTGGAACAACGCTTCTCTGTTTTAAGATGTACCTGAAAGCAAACTCGACACACGGCTGAATCTGTCATGACTCCATGAAAATCCCCTCGGCCACAGGATTTACAGTAATTTGTACCACAGAACTTGCATTTGAATATCTGAAACAAACCGTGCAAATTAGATTAATTGTATTCGTTATAAGCTCGTGCGCCCTGAGCTACCAGGCGTTTTGCTCGAGTTCCTCGACCCCCCGGCATTCTACTGTAGTCGCTTTACAAGATACCGTTGCTTTGGAGTGAGCTGTACATGTTTTTCCATGCTACCGGATTCAATGCTCTTCAGTAATCTGAAATGAACTCTCATGAAAAGAACCCTGTCATCATCGACACGCGCTTACATTTAGAGAAACTGAATTCACTGTCTTCAGCTACCCTCCTCTGGTAGTTCTCTGCGGATTCTCTGGAGGCCGTTCAAATTATCTCTAAGTTGGTCACACTTTGCAAATTACGCAAATGAATTTTAACACTAACGTGGGTAGTCTGTATATACAGAAGCAAAATTTACTATACTCGCTTTTTAGAGGATGTTCAGAAACGTCATGTTAATATAGCCTGCTCACGGGCCCTATTATCACGTGTTTCAAACTTTACCGGACAACGTTTATACATACCAAGTTATTTTCGCGGCATCCCCAGCGACACATGACTGGAAGATATCGTTGATATATCTTCGACCCTTTTGTATAAGTATTAATCAACTTATCTTTTTGAAAAGCTAATAGACACAAAAGTAGAAGAGCACCACAGAAATGCTGACTTGGTTTTACACACTGAGTGAGCAAGTCATTGAAGACGTCTGTTACGGTCGTTTTACCGCTGCAGATTTGCGCAAAATGACGGCGGTCACACGCAAAGACAGAGCTGTTTTGTCGACTTTACTCAGTGATAATATTAGCGGATTTTACTTCATTGACAGCTTGTTTACAGTTGTTGATTGTGATGCAAATCTTCTTTACTTTGTCGTTTTTCAGTTGTCCGGCAAAACTAGACAGCCTGAAATGGCCTCCTGCCAACTAGACGCATGAAAAGAAAGAAAGATGCAAATTTTTTGTTTAGGTTTTCTGGTACTCAAGTGTAGTCTGTTGAACAGCTGTTGAAGAGGTCTCAGCCATAAAATGGGCTTTGCCTATAGTTTTTTAGTTTTAAGCAAGCCTTTGACTTTTTTTTTTTTTTTTTTTTTTCATTACTGATTAATGTTATAATGCGTCTTCACGCTTAAACTACCCGTATTCTGACCTCCAGTGTTGCCCACTTTTGTTGATTTTGCAAGAATTTTCTTCAAATTNTTTTTTTTTTTTTTTTTTTTTTGAGGTTTTCTTTGTTGTTGCTCTACGTAGCCCGCAACCCGCAGCGTGTTCAAGTTAGGGCAGGACTGCAAGGCCATATTATTTGTCATGGGTTCTATTTTTTAAATTTGAATCCGCAAAGTGAAATAAACATGTCAATTCGTACAGAACGACTGAGAAAAATTAACGAGCAAGGAAATCAATGACAATAGAAATAAACCGAGCAAATTGTTAAAATTAAACATAAAAAATACATCGGCGACCAAAGAGCTTGGCGGGTTTCTCCACCCACATCACTCATGATCATTCGACATGTAGTCTATCGTCGAGTTTTTTTCCGGTTTTCAATATTTTTTCAATCTCTCATATCGGCTCACGAATATTATTTACTCAGCAACAAGTTATACCTCATTCGCAATTAACTCTGGCTAAAGGTAAGGTAAAAGAGCGAGATTCGAAGTTTTTGAAATTACTGAATTACGATATTTGTATTCCGCGCTTCATTTGGTCAGCGGTTCACTTCTGGAAACCATTACCAAATCTTGGAAGTTTGCCCGTTTCACTTCTTTGCATTGCCTGCCAGGGATAGATTTGTTTTGTACCACTTCCAACCTGCTGCCCAGCCATGAACAAGCCGCAAGCAGGGAGCATAAAAATTAAAGCTAAACGACTGTCCATACGGCGCACTCGCTCGCCAAACAGAATGGGATCGGAGGCGATACGCCAAGAAGCTTACGATCAAGACCGGGAGAGCTCGCTGCCACCAAACCTCCGTTCAAGATTGTGGTCACTTTTTGCTCAGATAGAAAGAGAATTCGAGTGTGTACATGCCGAGAACCTTGCTTGTAAGTACACCAAGATTTTCTATCTTGTATGTATCTGAGTTCCTTTGATAAAATTATAAATTAGTCCCCGTACTTTCTGCCAAAAGGTAAGCTTACAATAACTCCTCCTCCAGCATCCAAACTATTTCAGACTAGTTTACATTAATCAGGAATTCGTTTTATTCTCCTTCAATCTGTTCCTCCTTATATGCTGGATCTTAGATCCATTTTATTTATTGTTCGTGTAATTA